AGTCCTCTAACACACCAGGACAAAATACACCTTATCTACAGTTTTATCTCATCTGCTGGTGGCCACTGTTGAAGATTCAAAGATACAGCTGGGAATCATAGCAGAGGTGTAAAATTGCTTCCTGCTGTTTCACCAATGGGGCCTTACACACTGAGCGTTCAACTGGCAGGTCTATCTGATCCTACCAGACCCAGGCTCACTGAGATACTTTGTGTCCAGTGTGCTATGGGTTTGGAACCCAGGCTATTTTTCCTGCACCTGCTACCACTGCGAACATATATTTCTGTGAACATGTCCTTTTTCTCAGACCGCAAATTGCTGGTACTGCGAACTTTAGTTTAAGTGACTTACACTACTGTAACATTAAATATGAGATTGATATGTTTTCCAGCCTTTGCAAACATCAGGTATGATCCTACACATGTACCTTGTTGTTTTCCTGCTGCCTGTCTGGTCCTGTACTGTGTCTGTGATGTCAGGACTGGCTGTCACTGGTTTAGCTGCCTCTACAGTAGAGGACGACCAGCGCAAACACACTACAGATGGAAGTAACAACATGATTGGTCATCACTGAGAAAATTTCCAGATACAGATAAGTCGTTGTTTCATATCTTGATATAAAATGTAACTGCTGGTAGTGTAAGCTTGGTCATCTGACAGCATGTGCAAAAATGTTGTGTTTCTGGATACCGACCAACCCTAGCCTTTTTGAGGTCGGCCACCAACAAGAGACATAAAATTATCTGACATAGTGGTGCGTACTAGTACTACTACTTCTAGTACCAGTACACTGGACCGAATCATAACCAAACCTAAGGTTTTACTTTATTTTGGTTAAAATTCTAACACCAGCATACTGATGCATTTCAGTGTTATATTAGGCCATGTTGATTTGATCATATGGATGACATCCGTGCGCGCATGAAATTTCATTCGTTTAAAAAAAAAAAGAAAGTTTTAGACCACGCTATATATCATACAAAACAGCTGTAAAATGAGCAAGTATATGCCGTACATTGCAAACAAAAATATTGAAAACGACAATAATGTCGAAGAATGCCAAAATCAATTCAAGAGAAAGAAAATGAAAAGAAATGAAAATGAGTCTGTTATTCGCCAAAACATACTCTCTGTGTTCAGTCATTTGTTCAACCTTCATGACCACGTAGATTTCAAAATGAGCCCTAATTTTTTTTTTTTGACAAACTTATTTTCATTAGCCAGCTCGCATCAGTTTTGGGGTCATTAACTCCATGGGGTCATCCATATACTAGTAATCAAATCAACATGGCCTTAACTACACTTCTTGGATCACTTTGGCTATATATTATTGTTTATTAAAGAAGGGAATTCTACCTACTGACCCTATTTATTCAGGTCAGGATCGTAAATCTTTAGGAAACGCGACTTTTCCTACGCCTAATTAAGGCGGCACAACACAGTTTTAGCCCTATGGGGATTTCTATAGTTAAGGACCCCAAAGTGACTCACTTCGACTCACTGAAAATCATAGTAGGGTGCACAAGCAAGGTTCAGATTTTTGATATGTTTAATTTCAGGGTATAGTGCCGGCTAGTTTTCTTCTCATGCCCTCTTTTATTAGCGCCATTGCGGAGGTCATGGAACTGCAGCCGACGCACAGTACTAGGCGGGACAAGTATCCAAGCGCAAATCTACGCCGACTGAACACGCACCATAAGTCAACTTCTACAGTCTCAAAACTGACATATTCCTCTAACATTTACCACAGGTTCTATCTCGATACCATGCTCAGAACAATCTCTGCACCCTTCTCTAGTATTGTGCAGCACTACTTTGTGCCCGGACTACTTTTGACTACGGGGTTCGCCCATAAATACTGTGTTGTGCGGCCTTAAGAAGAGCCGGACAGTGCCGAGTCTGTAGTAGTAGGGGGGGGGGCAAGGACAAGTATCGTTTTTCGCTCTAATATCAGGATGAAACATGTCTTTATGCAAATTTATCATCGCCATGGTATCCATACAACCAATATCTGTTTGTCTACGTCTAAAATAATCACAGAAAATGTTAAAAACTCACATTTTTGTCTCGACCTCAGCAACACGCGACCAAACGCCGCCATGTTGGTTACGCGTTGTGCGCAGACTCCTGACCTTTGCCCGGCACCGGCCGGAAGTAGCTGCGACAAAAAATTCTGCAGATTTGGTCCTGAAAAATCGTCAAAATCACGGTTTTCCTCAGGAAATACCAGGTTGGTGGGTTTGTTGTTAATATATAGGCTATTCGGTAGCTGAGTGCCTGATATTAATGCGTGAAAATGGTTTGTAGGCAGTAGAAAGTATTCGTCCAAAAATCAGATTTTGAAGAGCTAGGGGGAGGGGCCTTTCTGCTGGGCTTTGTGCTGTAGTATCATGCATGGAGATGCTGTTGAAAGCTTTGGATTAATATCATAATAGTCTGTATTAATGTGCGACTATTGCTGTTTTTGCACGAACAGGCCGATATGCTGTTAAGAAATAGTATATTCAAGCTGAAAACACAAACATGAAACAACTTTTATGATGAGTACAAAAACGGCCTTTTTCAAAAACACAAATTTTCTACAGTTTGGTCTGGTGTTGTTTTCTCGTGCTGTTTTTCACACATCTATGTGTGATCAATATGTATGCAGAACAAATGATAACAAAAGATAAAGTGCATTTCAGTTGCTATTTTGCTAAACAAATCCAGGCTAAGGCCACACCAATTTAATTTCTTGGTTAACGGATTCGCCGCTTCATTTTTTTCTGATTTGCAAATAAAAATAAAAATTCAGAATCAACTGCAAAATGCTCATATTTTGCCCTGAACAGTTGAAAACAGTCCTTTTTTTACTACTTGTTACAGTCATTCCATCTTTCAATGCAATGGTATCATTAAAAGTTCAAAATTCATTGTTTAAATTTTGAACCAGCCTGGTGTGTTGACTTCATGGCTCCTATCATACCCTTTTGGGCCATAATAGGATGCCTAGGCCTGTTTTTATTTTTATTTTTTTTCGGCCCGCCCGCTCCATTATTTTTGTAGAAAAATCCGTTAACCAAGAAAATAAATTGGTGTGGCCTAAGTCTATAATCAATCCAGACCGTCAACAATAGCATTGTTTGAAAACAATAAAATGAGCTTACCTTTTATCAGGGGGTCAGCCTATTTACCGGAATACACTGGAATACACATGAAGAAGGGTGAAATCTACTGGAATACACTATATGATTTGATGAGTTAACATCTCAGGTATATGTAGCATATACATGTATTAGCCGTGGATGACTCTGGTAATCCTTTTTGCATGATAATGTCGGATACAGAGTCGTGGGGCACTCCACAGGCCAAAACCAACCTTTGCCGTGCCGGGCCTCATGCAACAGGCCGGCCCCGGATTTTTTGTGTCCCTGGCTTCCCGACGCACTCACCTGCCGGGCCGGGGGGATAAGACGTTAAACAAACGCAGCATTTAACCACAACACGGCCTCGGAGCACGTAACTCCATACAAATCCTCGACGATCGGCGGCCATGTTGAATTTCAACGCTGCTAAAATCGGCCCGCAAAACAGGTGAGACCCTGAGTTTACGATGGATTACGTCGTTATTTTCAACTCTACAACGTTCAAGCTGCAGGTATCATGACGTAATCTGTCGTAAACTCAGGGTCTGACCTGTATATACTAATAACGTATACATGGCCCATGGTAGGCTGGCTGGGTTATCAAGCCAAGGTATAATGACTGCTCTGTTTGTTTGTTGATAATGTTGTTTACCAACAGACTGTACAGTATGAAGAGGAAACATCCTGACCCTGACGGGGACATCATGAGTCCATCCTCCAGTGGGACCCAGGACGTGGAGGGGTGTCCGTATCCTCTCTACTCCATCAAGAGAGCAGGGCCTTACCTGTTAGGTACATCACATGATCAGCATACATGTACTTCTCTTCTCACTTGGTCGTTTGAGTGTAGGGCCCCCTACAGTGTGATTTGGACCCCCTATGCTGTGATTTAGCCCCCTACACTGTCTTTCACCCAGCATGGGGGTGTTTCTTTTTGGGGGAGAATCTTAAGACCCTTCAAAAGTATTTCAAAAAAATCAAAATTTGACTTCAGGAAGAAGCTATAATGGAGGGAAAACATAACTTTAGAATAGTTGTCCCTCAATAAGTGGGAAATTGTTTCTCATGGGGTTATAAGTTTTAAAATTTGGAAATGCAAAATGCAATCCATAATGAGCCAAAATTTGGTGCCCCTAAACCAAAAAATTGTAACAACATCAGTTCCAACATCTGAATTCGATATTCAAAAATTAATCTTTAAAAGCAGCTCACTCAGCACCCGCGAAACTTGTTCAAATTTTCTTGGAACATTTGTAAGCCCGTTAGTCTGTATAACGCAAACCCTGCCGTCTTCGGCTTTACTGGCTCCTCCGGCTGGATGTTGGGCGGCCGGCAAAAGCGATTTAATCAGGCTATAAGCCTGTGTGATAACCGATGAGACTCCGTGTGATATGGCTAGTTATCACATGGGCCGGAACATCTGTCTCATTCACTATCGTGGCCCAGGTAAAACACACATATCATAATCTATCACTTTAATCTAACCCCCGAGTGCTTCAGTAGATAGACATATGTTATGGCTATGGTCAGCTTGTACATACAATAATGTCATGTCTGTGTTGAACATTGTTACAGGACCTCGGCTGGGAAACTCTCCAGTACAGAGCATTGTACAGTGCTTGGCAAGGAAGGAAGCAACTGATGACTTTTACTCAATAAAGGTATGTGTGAAATAGCCTTTTTTAGCCATTTATGAGTCAGCACTGTACTAGGTTCTTGAGTTCTGTGGAGTGTCAGTAGCCTGGGTGCTGTCCTCCGTAGTTACCACCGGCTCCTTATTGTCACTAGCTACCATGGACCATGGCCAGAGCCTCAGAGAAGGTGTTTTTTTAGAACAGGCAAAAATAAGTGTGCGTGCGAATGTCATCCATAACATTAAGTCAGTGAGGCCTAATCTTGTCTCCCTGTTATTTATTTATTCACATATGTTTAACGAGTATCAGGCAAAAAGCACAATAGCTTAGGCCATGTTGATTTGATTATATGGATGACATCCGTGCGCGCATGAATTTTCGACCGTTTCCAAAAAAAAAAAAATTTCAACCATACTGTAAATCGTAGAAAACAGTTGCAAAATGAGCAAATATACTAGTATACCGTAGGTTGAAAAAAAAAAAGAAAACGATACCATTGTCGTAGAGTGCCAAAATCAAATTAAAAAGACGAAAATGTAAAGAAATGAATTTGAAGACTAGATTATTCACCAAACCATACTCTGTGTCATTTGTTCAAGCTTCAAAACCACGTAGATTTCGTATTTGAAAGCAACTTTTTTTTTTGCCAAACTTTTTTTTTATTTGCAGGCTCGCATCAGTTTTGGGGTTTCCTGAGGATATCATCCATAATTATAATCAAATCAACATGGCCTTATACAAAGCCTTCTATTCCATGTTGTTGTAGATCCTGACGTTGGAGGATGGTCGGAGGGAGACTCAGGATGACAAACAGGGGAAGATGTTACTCCACACAGAGTACTCCCTACTGTCTCTGCTACACGACCAGGAGGGAGTGGTGCATCATCACGGGCTCTTCATGGTGCACGCTTTGTTTATCTGTTTATTTTGTTATGTAAACAACTGACTGTAGACGATAAATCAGGGCTCTAGCCAGCACCCTTTTTTCTGTCAATTGCTGGAAAGATATTTAAACCAATCCGTCAATCTTGATGGATAAAATTGACAAAACTCTTGGTTAATAATATAAAAACATCCAGAGGACAGCCAACAACACCTCTTTCAAGCCCATAATTTGCCTGTCAATATGTGGGAAATTGCATTTTTAAATGATTGAAAATCCAAAATTTGCCCCGGACCGATAATGAAACTGGGCTGATCATGACGGAAATGATTTTGAGCTGGTTAAAGCCCTGCGAGAGAACATGGCATTATATACAGAGAAAGCAGTGGGAAATGATGTACATTTTATCTGACAATGTTCTCAGTATTATTCTGAAAGAAGTGAATTATTCTAAGAGATCTCCAAAGCTTTCCACCCTGACCAAAAAAAAAAACTATCTGTCAAATGTTTGACCATTCAGCAGTTGCATCTAAATATCATAGATAGTGGAAAAGTTGATATAGCGCATATATAGGCAACCTGGGACTGCCATCATAGCATGTTTCCTGTGCATTTTTGACACCATTGCACTGTTTAGTGGGGCACGCTTACTTAGTTTCAGAAAAAATGAGGGTCGGTAGGTAGGGATTACCTTTTTTTTGTCTAGTGATCTAACTTATACATGTACAATACGGTTCAACAAAGTGAAAGTTGCATGGGGACACTTAGATTTTCAACAATGTTGGAAAACCGATGCAGATAGGTACATCATACCGTACATGTATTTTGGAATACTGTGTTTATGTACAATGTTTGTTGATCTGGCCCCACCAGGAGAAAGCCTGGGAACCCCCAACAGACAGTTCCACTAAACACCTGGCAGACAGACCAGGGAGGATCAGGAAGCGACTGTGTCTGGTGCTGGACTGTCTGTGTGCTCACGACTTCAGCGACCAGACCGCAGACCTCATCAACCTGCAGCACTACGTCATCAAGGAGAAAAAACTGTCCGAGAAGGAAACTATTGTCATCTTCTACGACGTGGTGAGAATAGTGGACGCACTACATAAGGTAAGACTAAGAGTGTCTGACTTTTGTTCCCTTTTCGACTTCCAAAAAATTGTCTTCACTTTATTTGCATACCAATCAATAGTTTGTGCTTATAAACCTGCATTTCTCCTCTGGTCTCTCAGTCACTGACGAAAGCTAGTGGATACTAGCTGAAACGTCTGATGTTTTCAAAATCATATCCAGTTGCTTGAGTAACTGCTTCTTGGCGTAAGAGTGTGCATGATCTTTATAGGAACATGATAAGCGACGGTCACAACCCGCCGTACGTGCTTCTGCGTGCTGTCTACGTGCAAAAACGTGGGCAAACGTAGGGCATCCGTGCGTGGTGAGTACCACCTCCGTACGGAATCCTATGGATTTGGGAGCACGCAGACACGCCGTAGAACTTTAAGTGCGTGTAAAACTTTTTCTACGTGCAGTCTGCGTATTCACCACCCGTGCGTGCGAGTACGGGCGACGCGCGTGCCCCGTACGCGTCGTGCGGAAGAAGCACGTGTGAGTACGGCCTCCTTACGGTAAAGTTGCAATCGCACGGAGATCGTGCGTTGCAAGCACGTACAACTCACTTACCACTTGCGCAACGTACGATGCACGCAACCGCTCACGGCCAGACTTGGCGTGCAGACCATACTCTTACACTTTGTGCACCCGTGCGAGTGACGTGCGTAGACGCCACTCCTTCCCCACGTTTTCAGAAAAAAACGTACAATGTAGCAGACGTAGCCTCCAAAAAAACGTACAGAAAAAAAGCACGTACGGCGGGTTGTGACCATCGCTATAGGAAGGAGGGCTTGAAATCCTTTTATCTGCATACCTGCACTGCTGCATGTAACATTGAAAATTACCTGCACCAGATAAATTTTACCTGCACCACTCAGAATTTAGAAAGTATGGATCATACTAAAAACTGTTCAGAAACCATTGCCAAAAACAATGTTCATGTAGAAGATATTCACGTTATATTTCTTCTTCTTTTTTTTTCAGAAAAATATTGTACACAGAGACTTAAAACTGGGTAATATGGTTCTCAATAAGAGGTGAGTAAGAGTAAGGTATATGATCATCAGCATCAAGGTGTCAAATATCCCAAAATACATGAGTTGTTCCATTAAGAGTATTTGCTGATGTTGTAAATTCAATTCCTTCAATGCAATAAGTTAACCAAACTATTCTGCCTTTCATGGACAGCCTTTCAGACTGCTCCCAAAAATTAAGCAGTACACCTAGAACTTTTTCACAAGAGCACCTGGTGTTCCCATCAAAACTTGCATGCCCTATTAATAATAATGTCTATTTTGGAAAATTCAATAAAGAAAGATTAAAAAAAAAAAAATAATAATGTCTATATCATGGACTACAAAGCTTAAAGTCATATCATGACTGTATGTTTCTTTCTTGATCTGATCACGATAATTCCACACTACGTATTTCTTTTTCTGTGTAGGATGTGCTGTATACATGTACGTTCAATACGAGGATCTACATGTAGCTTCATAGTGTTGCACCTAGATTTTTCTTGATGCGCCAACATTTTGTTGGTTGGGGACACAAGTGCTTGCAAGTCAAAAAGTCTGTTAGCTTTTTAAGTTTGCTTTTGTACAGTAAATGAGATCACATATCTCTGAAATCTCCTTGTATCAGTGGTGCTAAGTGTTTAACTCTGTGTATTATCTGTGTGACTGCGTTGTAGAACCAGAAGAGTGACAATTACTAACTTCTGTCTGGGGAAACACCTGGTGTGTGAGACAGACCTACTGAAGGACCAGCGTGGCAGCCCTGCCTACATCAGCCCTGATGTTCTCAGTGGTGAGAAGTGTTTATGTACATCTGTAGTTGTTGAGTTGTTTGTATGTTTGTTGTGTGGTTCTGTTAAGACTGGTGCAATGGCCAAGTGGGTAGAATGTTTGCCTTGCATTTGGTATGTCATGAGTTCGATCCCTGGCCAAGATATAGACGATCACGCAAACCTCTACATGAGAAATCCTTAATAACTAGAAAGGCCGACATTTGCTTTGGAGCAAATACAGCAATGGCTTCACCACATTTTACGACATGGCAGGGAAAGAATGAGAAACACAAGGGAAAACAATGTTTTACATTGATATAACTATAGTATGAAGTAACATACAACTAAGACTACAACAGTTGGATAGCTATTCCCTACATTATTGGTTAGGATTTTTAATTGCATAATGCAAACTGTTGATTTTCAAGAAAAAAAGAAGCGTTCATGCCCCGCATTCCAATGCTGGAGCAGGAAAGCTTAAAATGCCTACCAAAACACTTGAACACAGACCTGCTGTCAGTATGGAATGGATCTGAGCAGGTATTAATTAAGTTAAGCCTGTTAAATTCCAACAGCCAATCAGCAAGGAGAATAGAGGAAAGCTGCATGCCTATTGGTTGATGCCCTGCATTCCATTGTGATGACTAATACCCAAATGTGGTAACACTGCACACTAACTCAGTAATACATTTGCTATAACACAGCCAAAAAAATCAAATAAAACCATTCTAAAAGCCTGTATCACAATAATTTAAAAAACGCCTAGGGGTATTTGCCCACTGTACCTCCATACCAAATTTCAGGACCTTGGGCCCTAAAATGAAGAAGCTGAATCCATTTAAAAAATGGCAGGAGAAGAAGGAGGAGGAGAAGGAGGAGAAGAAACATCAGAAAAAGCAATATGGGTTCACCACCACTTCGTGGTGTGGTGAACCCATAATAATTGTTTATTGATTGATCGATGAGTACAATCTCTAGCATGTGGCAGCGCAACTAAGTACAATGTAAGTAGAGCTGAATTGTATGCTAGTGTTTAAAAATAGAGAAACAAATATTGCACAGTTAACAAATACACAACTAAACAAGTGAGTATTTCACAGTTAACATACACATGTAATATATAGACAACTAAATAAGCGAGTAAAATGAGCTTAACAATATTTACAATAT